TTACCTGATCTTCTGTCAGGGAAGATGGCAGAGAACCAGCCCTGCTGATCATTCCCTTGCTGGTATGGCTGCCCCAGTAGACACCCCGCAGGACAGCTCTGCCCTGCGGGGTTGCTGCCCTCAGTAGTTACTCTCATATCACGTCTCCGAACAGCAATCATCCCTTTGCACGTTATGAAATCATCCCTTTGCACGTCTCCCAGGGCTTCCAATTTTCCTGACCTTGCTTTAAGTTACAGTAACATGAAGCTCCATACCAAATTTGGTGGATCTAGCTCATAACATTTAGGAGGCATTCTTAAATAAATGGACTCACAGACAGACACATAGACAGAGACACACATTAAAATATCTGTATTTATACATATAGATCGTGTAGATTTTGACAAGACATGGTAACTTTCAGTAAAAATATGTTTCTGGTTCATTTGACAGAGAGTGTGAAATGTCTCTTGAACGCATATCCAAAATTGTGACAACTTATTAAGAGACCTTTAACTCCTATCTCATCAATATTTGTCAACATCTTTTATACAGCAGATATCTTTTCTACCATCTTTTATACAGCATATCCTAAAGTACTTTGCAATCACCCAAAACAACACAAAAAGTAACTGTGTTGACCTAGATAAAGAACACCAAATTAATCTAATATATAAAGGAGAATGTTCATGTGCTAATAACTTGGACGCTATAAGAGCTACCGCAACCAAACTTTGCATGGGATAACCTTTTATCCAGGAGAAGATTGTAAGGTACTGTGGGAGGTAAGAGATGAGAGATCGACGCCTCTCCCCTGGGCTGCACAGAGCTTGGCAGTGCGGGGAGAAGCGCAACCAAACTTTGCATGGGATAACCTTTTATCCAGGAGAAGATTGTAAGGTACTGTGGGAGGTAAGAGATGAGAGATCGACGCCTCTCCCCTGGGCTGCACAGAGCTTGGCAGTGCGGGGAGAAGCGGCTTCCCGGGGGGACAGTCACTCACTAAGTCCGGCAGAGGGACAAGGAAGCGGAGGGCGGGCTCGGGCACTAGCAGCAGTCGCGCGACTCCCTTCCCCCTCCCTCTCCTCAGGTACCTCACCTCAGTTATATCAACTGTCAACTTATATTTCAACAATGTATTCTGACAAAGCGCAAGGACAGTCACTTAACGTAGTTGGAATTGATTTGGAGACATCTTGCTTTTCACATGGACAACTCTATGTTGTATGTTCAAGAGTTGGAAGTGGAAAAAATCTGTACATATTTGTTACGAATAATGAAACAAAAAATATAGTTTACAATAAAGTTTTTGATGATAACATGTAAAATTGGTTGTTTTATACTTTTTATATATATATATTTTTAATCCCTATAGAACTACCTTTCAAAAAACGATAATGGACTACTGTTTTTCTGAATTTTGTTCCTCCACTTTCCCAAGCAACGCTGGGTAACTCCCGCTAGTATTTCACTAAACAAAAGAATGCACTGCTCCATAATGATTAATCACTCCCTTTAATCTTTGCTTTATATAATGCTATTTTGATCAATTATGGCAGTTATTAAGATTTAGATAGCTACAACAGATCAAAGAAATGTTTAAACTTAAATTTATTTTAAGATTATTCTAGATTTTTCCATATTTGCATTAGGGATGAGAATGGTTAACTGGTAACTATCACCCTACCTGGGTGATGCTTACCAGTTCTGATTAACTAATAACCAGTGGGGGCTGAAGAAACTCCCTGCCTTCCATGGACAGGGAGCTGCTCCAGCCCCACAGGGGACCGGCCACAGCCACTGTCCACAGCAGGCCCAGGCACCCTTGCAGGCAGAAGCAGCCTCTGTCCGTAGGGAGCCCAGGCCCGCCACATACAGGGGCTACTCTGGCAGGGTCTGGGAGCCAGGAGCTACCGGTGGTCCTAGCGCCAGCACATTGAATGGGAGCTGGCAACCAGTCCCACAGTGGGGCTGGGGGTGGGAACTCCATGGCTTGGTGCTGCCCTAGCCAAGCTGGAGCAGTCCCCAGCCCTGATCCTGCTTTAATATGTTAACAGGTTAAACATTAGGTCAACCTAATGTTTAACCAGTTAAACAGAGGTGAAAGTAAGTTGGTATGCCCCAGTGTGCAGATGTATTAAGAGCAAGTTGCGCTCTGGCAAGAGCTGTCTGGGGCATGCTGCTCTGCAGAGGCAGGCAGGCAATTTAGAGGGGCTGGCTGGGGGCATGGTGTAGGGGAAGAGTGCACACTCCCAGCCGGGCTACTGGGGAGAGCTGGCAGCAGCTCCTATCTGGTCACAGCACCTGGCCCTGCCAGGGGAGTGAGGTGTGGAATTGGCTTGCCCCTGTCCAGCCAGGCTGTGCCTATGGCCCTGGCCCGAGCCTGCCACAGGAAGGGCTGGAGATGGTCCCACTCCTGCTGCGGCAGCCCGGTCTCAGCCTCACTCCTGCTGGAGAGTAGGGTATGGAATTGGCTCCTGTCCAGCCAGTCCATGTTTGCAGCTTCCTAGCTCTAACCCCTGTCTGCCGCAGTAGGGGCTGGTGGCAGCCCAGCTCTGGCCTCACTCCTGGGATTGGGGGGGACAGAATTGGCCCCTGTCCACCCGCAGTTGCAGCAGCCCAGTTCTGGCCTCAGCACTAGGTTGGCCCATGGTCTGCTCCCCATCTGACGTGGCAAGGGTTGATGTTAGTGGCCAACTCTGGACCAGGTAAGTTAACCTGGCATCCCCCACACCCTAACCCTCTGCCTCCTGCACTCCCCCACACCCCAACTGACTTCTGCACCTCCTCCTTCACACAGCAACCCCTTACCCTGAGCACCTCATACACCCCAACTGACTGCAATTCTTTCTCCACTCTCCAACTCCCTGCCCTGAGCCCCTCACACACCCCAACTCTGACTCCTAAACCCACTATGTCCCCAACCCTATCTCCTGCACCTCTTCCCACACCCCCAGCCCCCATCCACTGCACCCCTCTGCCATGAATCTCCTGCACACCACACCACACTTAAATGTCTTACAGGTACTATTGTATTGCAATCTTCTCTCCCTTCCCCCCCACCCCGAGGGGGGCAGGTTGTGACAGTACTGTACCTGTAAGAAATTTAAGTTACTTTCACCCACAAAGTTAACTGATTAACGGGGATTTTACATCCCTAAGGCTATGTCTACACTACCACCCTAGTTCGAACTAGGGTGGTTAATGTAGGCAACCGAAGTTACAAATGAAGCCCGGGATTTGAATTTCCCGGGCTTCATTTGCATCTTGCCAGGCGCCGCCATTTTTAAATGTCCACTAGTTCGGACTCCGTGCCCTTCATTTGCATCTTCCCGGGAGCTGCCATTTTTAAAGTCCCGCTAGTTCGGACTCCGTGCCCGCAGCTACACGCGGCATGGAGTAGGTAGTTCGGATTAGGCTTCCTATTCCGAACTACCGGTACACCTCGTCCTACGAGGAGTAACGGTAGTTCGGAATAGGAAGCCTAATCCGAACTACCTACTCTGTGCCACGTGTAGCCGCGGGCACGGAGTCCGAACTAGAGGGGCTTTAAAAATGGCGGCGCCCAGCAAGATGCAAATGAAGCCCGGAAATTCAAATCCTGGGCTTCATTTGCAACTTCGGTTGCCTACATTAACCACCCTACTTCAAACTAGGGTGGTAGTGTAGACATACCCACATTTAGATGTATAAAACATTGGCAACCAGTTTTCCAGAAACTTTTAAATAAATGTATATAATTCTGTTTTTATAAACATTTTCTAGTCTTATTTATGTTACCGCTACTGCTGTACTATGATTAAACTTACACTCTCCAGTTCTTCCTCTTATCCCATTCCAATCTATTCACCTAATCACTGCTTTAAATTTTCTTCTTTTGCACTCAGCTTCATGCCTTCCTTTTGCTTATACATGGAGCCTCCTTTCTGTCCCACTATAACTTCTCCCTTTTCTCCTACAAGTCCCACCTCAAAAGGAAGGGAGGTATATAAGCAAACTTCTTCGATTGTAATAATAAACGAATCCTTCAAGTCTTGTACATAGTTACCTAAACTTTGAGTTCTTACTTCTGACACCCACTTAGCCATATTCTACCCAATGTTATAATCTACTCACCCCTCCATTTTAAGGCTTTAATTTATCATCTGATTTGTGTGAGCAGACAACTGTACTCATGCATAGTCTCATTAACTTTAATGGGACTCCATGAAGGCTCAAAGATCCAGTCACACTGATCAGATTGCAGAAATGAGGCTTTTTGAATTGTAAACTCTTCTGGGAATGAACTGTATCATTATTAGCCTGTAAAGAGAAAAAAAATGATCTTCTGATCTGGGTCCCAGAAAGCTTGATTCTGTTTCTAGTTCTGTCACAGACTCTGGCATGACTCTGGACAAGTCACAATTTCTATTGCATTAATTCCCCAGTTGAGAAACACACTTCTCTTTTTTATAGGATATCTGGAGAATAAATATACTAACGTATCTGAGGTGCTCAGATACAACAAATATGAGGGCATAGGGAAAAAACAGTAAATAGTGAACCACATAAACTTACAGCATAGTGCTGTGTAAGATAATTTTAAAAGTTTTTATAGTATAGATCTGTCTAAAGTAATGAGTCCATACAATTTGGAAAACAATGCTCTTATCTAAATACTGTAATGTAATGTTAAAAGAAACATTTGTCTTCCACCCAACAATGGATTATCAGGATGGTGAATGGAACATTTCTAAAAAGAAACTAACATTTTTTTAAAAAATCAGGAAAATATCAATATGTCACTTGATAAGTATTTTTTACCTTCTTACCAACAGACAGCCACTTCTTCACACACTGAATTGTACAGAAAAGCCTCTGAAAACATATACTACTTTCTCCTATATCTTCCAGTTCCACTTAGGGGATTATAAAATATTGTACATAATGCAGCATTCTATAACAACAATAATGAAGATTTTTTCTGTACTTAATATATTTATGTAAAGGTTCAAAACAATGAAATCTTCCTTTATTACCTTTAAGCATTGTTCTTCCAGCTGACCCTCCAAAGATATTTATAAGACCACTTCTTGCTCCCAGTGATGTTGTTGCTTCTAGTAGAGCACCAGTGACAAAGTTAGAGAGTGATGTCCTTTGTAAAGTGGCACGATACTCAGAGCAAGCACTTTCTACACATGGTTTTACGAAAGAAATATTTTTGCATCTGTAATCTGCATCTACTGTTGGAAGCTCTCTCAGAGGATGGAGACAATATTCATAAGTATCTTCTGCCCCCTCTTCCTCTTTCACTGCATTGTAGATCTGTGAAGAATAAAAGCATGAAGTGTTAGCTCAATTGCTGAGGACACTAAATTGAACCTTTGGAAAAAATATCAGCATGACTTCTTGTAAAAAAGTTCAATGGCTCATACTGCAAAAAACTCTACTAGCTAGAACATTGTATTTATGTATTAAACTGGAAAATTCTAAGAATCCAAACTTGATTTGCAAACATTCTGGGTGGGGAATCCTAAACTAGCGATTGAAAAACTATTACTTTAGACAGTGTCCCAATCCCAAAGCTTTAACGACCCTCATATCACTAAAATATGCCACACAGAGAAATTTAGCAAGTATTTAAATTAAAGAAGATTAATTATACTATTATAAGACTAAAAATCTCAGAGGGATAGCCATGTTAGTCTATAAGATGTCTTGTCATCTGACGAAAAGGGTTGTGACCACAAAAGCTCACAATACTATCTACAGTAAACTTCCGATAATCCGGCACTTTTAGGACCCAGGGGGTGCCGGATTATCAGATATGCCGGACTATCAGAAGGGGGGGCTATGAGGAGTCTGGAGTGGGGTGGGAGGGGATGCCACCCCAGACCCCTCATAGCCCCCCCCTTC